CTCCTCCTCCTCCTCCTCCTCCTCCTCCTCCTTCTTCTCCTTCTTCTTCTTCTTCTTCTTCTTCTTCTTCTTCTTCTTCTTCTTCTTCTTCTTCTTTTGGACACTGCCCTCCTGCTGCCCTCCAGTCCTTGTTCTCTTCTTCCTCGCTGCTTCCCACAGCGCCTGACATTGTGCTGCCTCTGTCCTGGCCCACTGCAAAAGTTTGTCCAGGGATCCCCCACCTTTTTGAGCCTGCAGGCAGCTTTGGCATTCTGATACCTTGTGGTGGGCCCAGCCACAAAATGGCTGCTGCAGGAAACGGAGCCATCTACAAAATGGCTGCCACAGCTTACCTTCAGTCACACCATGAAGACTGTTGTGCTGTGGGGGGGCTGCTGCCAGAAAAGGTGTCGGTGGGCACCCTGCCACCCATGGGCACCACGTTGGGGACCCCTGCATTAGCAGGAGCTCAGGGCAGCTGAAACAAAGCCTGAGTTCCAGGGTCTGCGTAGACTCCCTCTCGTCCCCCGGCTCCCTTGGCTGTCCCAGAGTAGGTTATATGTGCCTTGCAGCAGGGGCTTCTCCTTTGCTTCCTTTAAGCCTTGCTCTGTCAAATGCCATGGACAAGTGGGGCAGTTCTCCATTAACATCCTATATATATATAATTGGCCACTTCCAATGTATTGGCCATTTCCAGCTCTCCCATTGGCTGTGCAGTGCGCTCCATCAGCCATTGGCCCATCAACCGCCACTCAAGAGTACTTGCGTGCCATTGGCTGGGGGCTGGATCCGCTCCTCTCTCCGCCTACTGCCAGCTTGGCCACTTTCAGAACAAACTGCGAAAATGACTGTCTCTCCTGCTTGGCTCTGCCATGCCTGGCTGGCTACTAAGGTGGGCCAGCAGCCATCAAATCATTCTCTTCAACCTCCTGCTGTGTGGCTGACTTTCTCCTAGGGTCGCCAATCTCCAAGTGCGACCTGGAGATCTCCCACTGTTACAGTTGATCTCCAGATGACAGAGATCAGTTCCCCTGGAGAAAATGGCTGCTTTGGAGGGTAAACCCTATGGCATTATACCCTGCTGAGTCCTTCCCCTCCCCAAATGCTGCCCTCCACAGGATCCACCCCCCAAATTTCCAGGTATTTCCCTAATCAGGGCTGGCAACCCTACTTTCCCTTCAGTGCCTGTTGCTAGGGAACCAAGCTTGGTTCTGCCAGTAAAAGGCGAAGGATGAGACACTTTCCATGCCTCTTCTGGCCTTTGGGAGAAAACTCATTGGGGCCAGTGCAAGTTGGCAAATTTTGTGGTGGAGTCTACAGAAGCTAGAGTTTAGGGAGGGGAGCAACCTCAGCTGAACAGAATGCCATAGAGGCCACCCTCCAAAGCAGTTATTTTCTCCAGGGGGAGAGAGAGATCTGTTGTCTGGAGTTCAGTTGTCATACCAGGCAATACCACAGCCGGTGTGGCATAGCAATTAGTGCTTCAGAGCGGGGTCTGCCAGATCCAGGCTCTTGCTGTGGAAGCTGAGTGGGTGATTTCAGACCAGTCAGACTTTTAGCCTAACCTACCTCACAGGGTTGTTGTGCAGCTCAAAAGGGGGAGAGATGTCAGCTGCTTTGGTCCCCACTGCAAAGAAAGACTGTGCTTTTCCTTCTGGGGAACCATTGTTGCCAATCTCCAGGTGAGGACTGGAGATCACTCCGAATTACAACTGCTCTCTAGATGGCAGAGATCAGTTCCCCTGGAGAAAATGGTGGACTCTGTGTCCTTATACCCTGATTAACTGCCCCCCCATCACCGCCAGTGTGACGTATCAGTCAGGGCTTCAGAACAGGGTAGAGGCTGCAGGTGGGGGGCAGGAGATGGAAAGCTGAAGTCTGAGGGGCAGATAAAGGTAGGTTGATGGTTGGCTGGGAAGGAGAGAGAGTTGCCAGCTCCAGGTTGGGAAATTCCTGGATATTTGAGGGGTGCAGCCTGGAGAGAGTGAGGTTTGAGGAGGGGTGGGACCTCAGACAGGTACAATACTATAGACTCCACCCTCCAAACCAGCCATTTCCTCCTGGAGAACTATTGTTGCCAGTCCCCAGGGGAGGGCTGGAGATCAATCAGAATTACAACTACTCTTCAGATGGCAGAGATCAGTTCCCCTGGAGAAAATGGTAATCTCTGTGTCATTATACCCTGCTGAGGTCACCACTGCAAATTGACACTGAGTCCCCAAGGCCAGGGCACCCACCCAGAGCCTCTTTCTAGAGCTCGTTGTACTTATGGACTGCCTCACTTTAGACTTCAGGCAGAGGGTGCCTTAGTTTTCCTTGCTGTGCTATGTAAACATCTCCCACAAATAGAAAACCAGCCCGCAAGATAAAGGACTGTGCTAGACCTAGGATAGCAAGGCTCCCCTGGCCATTGGTGGGGGATGGGGGGGATGGGTTGCCAGATCCAGGTTGGAAACTCCTGGAGATTTGGGGACGGAGCCTGGGGAGCACAGGGACCTCAGTGGGGTACAGTGCCATAGAGTCCCCCTTCCGAAGCATCAATTTGTTCTGGGGAAACTGCTCTGTACTCTGAAGATGAGCTGTAATTCTGGGGGATTCCCAAGTCCCACCTAGAGACTGGCATCCCTGTTTTTCTAGAATTGTTTTTCCTACGGTGCAAGCTTTCTGCTTGCAGGGAGTTGTGCGTTTTTTAAAAAACTTGGGTAAGGCTTCAAACATAGCGTTTCCCAGAAATTATGCAATCTATTCTCCTGCTTCTCATCATCCTATTTCCACCTTTTTTGCTACATGCATAGAGAGCCTGGGTGTGTGAACTGGTTTCCTGGAAACTTTGACATGATGTTGTGTGGTGGTGGTGGTGGGGGTACATAGAAGGTCTGTCTGCTATGTTAGGCCAGTTGCCAGCTTGTCCGTACATCGCATGAGACTCCAGTCCGGATGAATGGGCAGGGGTGAATCGGCCTTTAGTAGTTCCGTGATGAGGCAGTTGACAACAGCCAATGCACTGCCCAGTGGTCAGCTTGCCCACAACTACCGATCTCCCTCCACAGTACACATCCAGAGGGCAGAGTTCTTGCAGGTGGGGTTTGGGCGGGCTGTGGCTGGATTTCCACACACCAGCCCTGTGGCACAGAACTTGTCCCAGAATTGGTTGTCATAGAGACAGTCCCAGGGCTTTGGACCTTCCAGGTGGTGTCGGAAAGGCTCCACCCAGGAAGAAGAAAGGCTCCATTCTTTGCTTCTGATTTTCCAATGTAGGTTTTGGATTACGACTATTATGGGGCATATGGCCATAAACCTCATGAGGACTATGCCTATAACCAGCTGCTGTCGGACGAGTACACTTTTGATTTCCCCGCCCATCACAAAGTGGTGAGTACACTGTGCTGTGAGTGTGGAAGGAGAGACTGACCAGCAACCATGTCAGTCGCAAGGACCGCCTGGACTGCGTCTGGATCCCCTCGTGCAGCATCATTCGGAGGGGGGCTAGCTGCTTCAAGGCACAGGTGGAGGAGGAACAGTTGTGTGGTTCCCCCTATAATCCCTGCAAGCAGAAAACTAGCAGAGGAGTGAGAGGGTGGGGCTGGTTTTCCTCACAGGGAGTAGTGAGGCTTGTGAAGGCTCCTGGTTTTCAGACTCCTGCAGCAATCAGTTCCCAACAACTTTCTTGCAAAGAAGTAAAGTTTATTGAAACGCTGAAGTGTGCAGGTTGTCTTTACACATCTCGTCTCAGTACTGGCAATAAGCTCACGAAGCAAATAGATATACATAATTCAAGAGAGCCCCCTGATGGCCTGGAGCCAATCACGGAACAGGCAGAAGCCCGCCAAAGCTAACAGGTCCAGTTTCCCAGGAGAAAGCTGGTGCTAGACACCAAGGTCAAATGCTCATGTTACAGAGATAAAGGGACACTGAAGGCACAGAGAAAATAAACTTAAAATTCCAGATGGCCCCCCCCCCACTCCATGGCAGCTAGAGGTCTAGCTGACACTAGTGCAAGCCAAAATGAGGAGGGAACAGACCGTCAGTGAAGTCCAGGCTTAGCTTGAAGCAGGGACTGTCATCCTGCAGTTCGGCCCAGACCCTGTTTATGGTGCCCGGCCCTTCCCATGTGTCCCAGGGTGCAAGGTGGGCACATGAGCACTGTCTCCTGCAGTGGGCATCAGGGAGCGAGACCTCCTCAGTCCACCTGTCTGAGCTGCTTTGCCAAGAGAGGCCAGAGATTGCGGCTGGCACCTTTTGTATGCAGTGCGGAGGAGGAGAGTTGGTTTTATGCCCTGCTCTTCACTACCCAAAGGAATCTCGGAGCGGCTTACAATCCCCTCCTCTCCCCACAACAGACACCCTTTGAGGTAGGTGGGGCTGAGAGAGCTCTGAGAGAACTGTGAATGACCCAAGGTCACCCACCTGGCTGCATGTGGAGGAGGAGTTGGGAATCAAACCCGGTTCTCCAGATTAGAGTCCGCTGTTCTTAGCCACTATACCACAGCTGGCTGACTGCCACTGGACTGGACTCAGGGAAGAAGAAGCAGGGGCATGGGTATTATAGTGCCTTCTGCCTATGGGAAGCTGCAATGCTCCCTCTGAGCTGTGGAGTCTTCTGAGCAAAAATTCCACTTGGTGAGCTCCTGGCATTAAAGTGGTGAGCGAGCGATTGGGCTGCTGCATAAATTAGTTTTCTCTGGAGCCAAAAATGTGTGAGCCGGAGGCTGAAAAACTGCGAGCTCGCTCATACTAACTCAGCTTGGAGGGAACACTGGTTCCCGCAATGCCCTGGGTCCTTATGACGAGTCTCATGCAGCTGTGGAATTGCCTGCCTCTGAAAGGCAATGAACAGTGGCCATGGCAGTAGGGTTGCCAGCTCCAGGTGGGAAAACACTTGGATATTTTGGGAGGCGGAGCCTGAAGAAGATGGGGTTTGGGGGAGGAGAGGGACTTCAGTGGGGTACGGTGCAGTAGAGTCCACCTTCAAAGTGGCCATTTTCTCCAGGGGAACTGATCTCTGTCGCCTGGAGATCAGGTGTAATACCAGGAAACCTCCACCTGGAAATCTCCAGTCACCACCTGGAGGCTGGCAACCCGGTGTGTGTGTGAAGTGCCATCAAGTCACTTCTGACTTCTGGCGGCCCTCTGAATCCGTGTCCTCCAGAACATTCGATCAGTAACATCCTTGCTCAGCTCTTGCAAACAGGGTTGCCAGCTCCCCTTCTCGCACCAGGGGCGGGATTTGTGGGGTGTTGTTCTGGGGGTGTGCAGGGATGCCCCCAAGCCCCACCCCCAAACATGACCGGCCACCCCTCTCCCTCCCTCCTGCAAAATTTAAAGGGTCCTCCAGCTGATGAGCAAGCCACAGGGCCTCCGCCAATCAGCGGAAGCCCTTTAAATCGGGCAGGAGGGGAAGGAGAGGGGTGGCCGGGTGGGTGGTCGCGCTTGTGGGCAGGGATTCCTCCACCAGCCAGCTGGTCGGGGGTGGATTGGAGCTCCCAAAAGCGGGGGGACCCTCGCCCAGGCCTGGCGTCTGGCAACCCTACCTGCAGACCCTACACTGCAGTCAAGGTTTGGGTGCGGAGGCCACCGGAAAGGCTGGCGTTCGGCTAGGCCAGCGTCAGTGACTGAGACGAAGGCTGTGAAACCGCAGTCCCAAGACTCCCTCACCTGCTGGGAGCAAGGCAGGAGAAAAGCAGCTTGAGAACTGAAACTGGGGAATAAGGAGCGACTCTGCTGTCTCTGAGCATGTGCAGATTCCCCTTCCTCCTTTTCCGTGATCCGGGGGCAGAGCTTCCAGGCCAGTGTTGCTTCCAAGCCTCCAAGGCATGCACTCCGGGGGAAAGGGCCTTTTGACGGAGAAAGGTCACCCTGGTGCAGGACTTCCCCTCTGGCTCCCCTTGCTTGGGAAGATACCTCCATGTGCACAGATTTGGAGCCGTGCTTTTGAAGCAGCCCAGCTTTTTGAAAGCAAGACGCCGGAATTATGGGACTGTCCTCTGTTATGCAAATGAAGTACCTGCCATATTCTGTCCATCGTGTGTTTTGCTCCTTCTACTCCTGGGAAGAAATTCATTTATTTTGTTCATTAATCGTTTATTTCCTGCCTTGTCTCTTGGTTCAAAGTGGCTTGAAAGTTGCAAAGGGGACAGAAGGGCCGTGCTCTCCTCTGGCTTTGGAGATTTCGCCACCCATTCGTGCGCTGAATCCAGGGCCCAATTCTATGCCGGCTGGTTGGAGAAACACACAACCTTGCCTAGTTTTGCCCTATCCATCGATTCAAGTTTAGTGTGTTTGACTTCCCCAAGCAAAGCTGACAGGCCCACAAAAGGCCCCTGTGGCGCGAAAGGAAGCCTTGGCTGTTCTTTGCTACATCAAGTGCAATTTTGCTTTTGAGAAATGAATTCAAGCCCCAGGGTGGGGTGGGGATAAGAGTAAATGTGATGAATGATAAATGTCAAGGGTAGGACTTCCAGGGGAGGAGTGAACTTGGTGGTTACACTTGAAAAAATGTTCCAAGGGAAGTCTTCATTTTTTAAAGTAAGATATAAAAAGATCCAGCATGATTTTATCTTTCTCTTTTATCTCTCTTGCCTGCCTGCCACTTCTTGCAAGTGGTTTTTATTGCCTCTCGGTATGTGATCAAGAGGACTGTGGCGTGGCCTCTTCACTACTGCGTGTCTGTCTTTTGAATTTTTAGATCAGGAACGAGTGCTTAACCTGCCGAAATGCGGTGGCTGTGTTCGACATGTCTTACTTCGGCAAATTTTACCTTGTTGGCCCCGAGGCCGGGAAGGCAGCCAACTGGCTATTTACGGCTGATGTTAGCAAGCCCCCAGGTACAATTCCAAACTAGTTATTTTCTGTGACACCAGTGTCGCAGTGCCAATTTTGTTGATGCTTTCTGCTGGACTGAGTGCACAGTCCCCTCCCAGACAATTATATGTTGAGCCAGACATCACGCCGCTCACGTCCAGTGCCGGCTGAAAATACTGGCTGGCCACTTGGACCTGCATCCTTCTGCGTGCAAAGCAGAGGCTCTTCCACTGAGCCACAGCCCCTCTAGATTTTATTATGGCCGTGATGGGGAAGCCATAGGCAGCAAGACTAACTAGGTTCGCCCCTTTCCAGATTTTCCCATGCAGAAGTGAGGTGTGTACCACCGTAAAAACTGCAGCAGAGCCCCGGGTTTGCACACAGAAAGTCCCAAGTTCAGTCCTTGGCTCACCCAGTTAAAAGATATGAGTTGATTGGGAAAACTGCCACTGCCAGTCAGAAGAGAGAATACAGAGCTAGGTGGACTCATGGTCCAACTCTGTATACCGCGGGCTCATATGTTCAGTGATCACCCATTCAGAAAAGATGACCTGCATCTCTTGGCTGGGGGTCCTTGAAGGCAGAGTAGTAAATTGAATGGGGGGGGAACCCAGGTTCAAAGGAGCTGAGATCTGCAGCCCTAAAGCAATGGATCAGGCATCGCCATTCCTCAGGGGCTTCCCCCTCTGCTTCCTCCTGAGGGAGAGGACAGATAGCGGTCTCAGTGGGCATTTGGTCCACGCAGCACTGAGCAGGCAAAGGGGGCTCTGGATCCACTGAGCTGGCCAGTCCCGTCGTCCCCAGCATCCAGAATCTGGCCTTGTGGGCACAGGAGCCTCCTGAGCCCTGCGAGAGCTTGAATCAGCCATGACCTTGTGCTTTGTACTCTGGCGGACGAGGAGCTCCCGGTATAAGCAGGAGAAGGTATCCCACTTGGTACTCGGGAAGAGAAGAAGGGCAGCTCAGAGGAGCTGGAGCCAAGAAGAGAGAGAACATTTGAGACTTCCTCTGGGCGTGGGGCAGGGGTCACTGCGGGTGTGGAGGGGGGGTAGTTGTGAATTTCCCGCATTGTGCACGGGGGTTGGACTAGATGACCCTGGAGGTTCCTTCCAATTCTATGATTCTTGGACTTGAACAAACAGAAGAGGGGTGAGCCCAACATCTCAGCTCGCCTTGCCCTTACACACCCCTTGCAGGTTTTCCAAGCGTTGTGTCCCCCTCCCTTTAATGAAACGGCAGCACATACCTTTATTATATGTCCCTATGTCACTTCACCAAGAACATGAACGAATACGTTAAATACTGTCACAACACTGCCCTTGGGGGAAGGGACACAGGCCTGTCGGTGACTCGGCTGAACCTAGCCAGTAGGCACTCTCACAGTTTTTCCAGCATGCTTGAAACCTGTAGGATTCTGCGCATGTGTGTGCTCATGCGTGCATACATGGGATTGTTTTTTGCAATGCCCACTGGAGAAGAGAAGACTGCACGTGTGTTCCCCAGCTGGAGATGGCTTTCTGGGCATTTGCTCTGGAGAGCTTGTCACAGGGACAGTGTCTCATTGCCTTCATCCACCTTTTCCTGAGAGCTCATCTTGTTTTGGCTAGTCCTCGTGAGACATCCCAGCTCAGTGGCGACTGAGGAGGGATCCGGATGATTCAGAACAGTCTTGCTGGGGCTCGAGGAGGGGCCGTGGCTCCGTGGTAGAGCCTCTGCTTGGTGTGCAGAAGGTCCCGGGTTCAGTCTCTGGGGCATCTCCAGGCAAGAGGATCAGGTAGCAGGCGATGGGAAGGGCCTCAGCCAGAGACCCCGGAGAGTGGCTGCCAGGATCTGAGGCAGCATAAAGCAGCTTTGTGTGTTCACAAGAGCGGCTCCGCTTTCAATGAGCGCCATTCCTACCAGTGATCGACCGATACCCTTCCATCCTTCTGGGGCCTCCTTTTTTGTTTCCAGGGACGACTGTCTACACGTGCATGCTGAATGACCGTGGGGGAGTCGAGAGTGACCTGACCGTCAGCCCAATTGCACCTGGCAGCCATGATTCAGCCTTGGCACCAGCCTTCGAAGGTAAGAAGACACACGTGACCCTGCATAGTGGCTGGTGTTTCTCAGAGTCATTTTGGTGGTGGCTGTGTCCGTGTTTAGACAAAGTCTTCTGTGGGGAGGGCCAGGAAGTAGCAGGTTCTGGAGATGGGGCCCACCACCTTTGGGAAGGTTGGGAGCTGTGTGGCTCTGATGGGCCTGGGGGCACAGCAACCCTTCTTTGCTCTTCCCTGGGTCCTGCCCAGGATTGAAGTGGTCCTGAAGGGCCAAAGTGTGCTGGCTCCACGGCTGGGCCTGACACCAAGCCCCTCTCTGTCAACCATGAACCTCTCTAGACAAAACACCCTGGCTAGAGTTGCCAACTCCAGGCTTCTAACATCCTGGAGATTTGAGTTGGAGCCCGAGGAAAGTGGGGTTTGGGGAGGGGCCTTCTGCAGGGTTTAATGCCATAGAGCATAATGTCCTCCAAAGCAGCCATGTCCTCCAGGGGAACTGATCTCTGTAGTCTGGAATTCAGTCGTAATTCCAGGAGGTCACCAGGCTTCACCTGGAGGTTGGCAGCCCTGGCCCTGCTGCCCAAAGAGGCCATTCTCCAGACTGGTAGATTAAGCATGACCGGCCTCCACTGGGACCTCTTGATCTCGAGAACATTGTCTTTGATTTGGGGATGGGAAATTGTCGGCTGTTGGTGCTGGCGTGAGCTTTGATTTCGTTACCTTTGGCTAGACGGCCGCGTGGCCACTGCCGCCCTCCCCGAGTCTCCGTCTGTCAGCTGCTGTAACCCAATCGCTGCTCTTTCGTGGTGGGTCCTTGCAAACCAGCCAAGGGCCAATTGAGTTTGCTGCAGTGCCTGCTGTTTGAGCCAACCCCGGGGGCAGCCGTGGCCTCCCAGCAGCCAGCCTTTGCCACCGTCGAGGGCGTCGAGGGCGACTGGAAAGAAATGAGGCCCCAGCAGATTTGTTGCTTGCTGGCACGAGGCCAGGTGGATGCAGGGAACTTCTCTTCATCCGACTGATGAAGCAAAATATTAAAAATAATACTTTAATAATGTAAGTAGCCCTGTCTCATGTACCACACAAGGTTTTCAGAAGTTTTCAGGCCTTGAATAGCCTGACTCTGAAAACTCTGACCCCCCACCTTTTTCCTGTTGTTCACCTAAAGGCTTGTGGTTTGGAACTTCCTCTAAAGGCCTTTTCCTCTGCAAAGTGTGATCTGTTTAGCTAACTGCTGTTATCTCTGTCTCACTTATGTCTGTGGTTAAGCTTCATAGATGCAAAGAATAAGTATTTGTAACCGCAAGCAAAAGAGAATACACATCCAAGATGTTCCCTTTGATAAGGAAAGTGTTGCTATATGGTTAAAAACTTTCCACTGCTTGAGGCTTGTGACGTATGATTAAAACCTGTATATAACTTTTGTGACTGCAAAGCTTGGGGTCTGGCTTTTTCAATAACACCTTGGTGTGTTAGCTAGACCAGGTACCTAATAAAGCTCTCCTCTTGAAGAAAGAATCTGTGTGGTCTCACATCTGGACAAAACTCTACTCTCCCCGTGCTACACTGACACAAGAGGAGTCCCGCTGGATCGGAGCAAAGGACCAGGCTCAGGAGCAGGGCCTGAAGGCAGCAGCTCTGTCTGTCCCCCCTGCCAGTAAGCTGCACTCAGAAGCCGGTGTTGCTGCTAAACATGGAGGCTCCATTTGAAGCGTCAGAATGTTCTCAGCACAGGTTAATCCTGCGTAGCAGGGCAAGCAGCAATAGGGGCACTTTGCTCAGCGGTGTAGATTGCCCTTGTTTAGCTTCTGTGCCTGATAGCAGCACGGCCTAGGGGACGGGTCCCAACCTTCTCCTGCCTGTGAGCACCATAAAATGGCCACCTCAGGAGGCGAAGCCCAAGTCCAGGAGAGAAGGAGGGTAATTCAAAAAATATATATTTTAAAAAATATCCTGGGAAAGAGGAGTGAAAGTGAGTAAAACCAATAATGGGGTGGCAGCTGTTGCCAGAATGTTATTTCAGTCTGCGTGGTATGTCAGATCTCCAGTGCCTCCTCAAAAACCCTGCCAGACAGACCCCTACCTGGGCCCACCCACTTTCTGAGAACACTGGGCAGGCCCCAGGAATTTCCCCAGCACCATGGATTCCATCTAAAATCTAGGGCCTTGTTCTGGCAGGGCTGTGCCCATGGTGCACCCTCCCAACCAGTGTGTGTCCATGTCTTTGTGTGCCAGAGGAATTCGTACACCATACCTGGATAACAGTCCCTGGTACCTTTTGCAGGAGATGGCTACTACCTTGCCATTGGGGGAGCCGTAGCACAGCAGAACTGGTCACACATCACCAAGACTCTGCAGGACAAGAAGCTTCAGTGCCAGTTGATTGACCAGTCAGAAGAACTTGGGATGATCAGCATTCAAGGACCATCCAGGTGAGGGGAGCAGGTGGGAGAAATCTGATTACCATGTTGCCCATGTCTTGAGGAGATCAAGGTGTGGGTGGTATTTGTGACAGCAACAAGAGCTTGCTGAATTTTTCCTGAAAGCAAAATAACAAGGTGAACTTTTTGGAGGCTTCTGCAGGTGTTTGGAAGGAAGTTTAAAAATATTTCCACGAGTTTAAAGAGGTTACTTCAGGAAGGTTTTGTGTATCTCTCACTTCAAGGGCCTTTTACGATGCATGGTTCTAAGATGTGCAGCAGTGCTTGATGGCAGGATGCATCGTGCAAGAGCTGCTGCATTCAAGCAGTTTTGCAGTGCTGGGGATTTGCAGCCTGCATGCTGCTTTGAATTTGCAGCTGCTGCCCAGCCCTCTCAAAAGCACAGTGAGTGAGCGAGCACAGCTGAAAGAGACGGGACGAGGAGGGGGCTGCTCACAATCCCACCTGTCTATGTTTTCACCCTGAATCTTCCACAGAGTTTGCACAAAATAAATAGGACCTGGCTGAACTCTGGAGCATCCCCAATTATTGTTGTGGAAATGACAACCAATAAGTGTAGCCATAACCACTCAGCAAAGGAAGCCACGACCCTCAGTTTGCAAGACATGAGCAAGGTTGTGAATGATGGGAGATTTTGCCGTATGTTCCAAGTGACTTGATGGCGCTTAACACACACACACACACACACAACCACAAGCAGTCACCGTAGTGCAATCTAGAGTTGTGTGCACGCCCGCTCTCTTTGGCTCAGTCTCTCTGTCTCACACACACATTCCACATTTCTCCAGAGCACCCCTATTTCTGACCAGTGCCCTGATCCTACACATTCAGTGCCCGCTGATGACAGATTCAGGTCCAAAGCAACAGAACAGAGTTTGAGTCCAGTGGCACCTTTCAGACCAACAAAGTTTTATTCAAGGTGTGAGCTTTCATGAAGTGCACGCACACTTCTTCAGGTATCTGACAGTGGAGGTCTGTGTGGTATGACTTGACAGTGCTTTCCACCGCCAGCCGCTGGCATGTGGCAGAATGTGGTCCCTTTGGCAAGGACCTACTCACCTCTCATTCATTGGCCCTCTGTGTGTGAAATATGACATCAGATTCAGAGTTTGTAGAAACTTGAGATTTTATGAAATGTTTCTGGTCCGATATGACTTTGGATTTCACGAAGTGCAGGCAGAGAAGCAAGAGAGGCTGGCCAGTCCAGGCCGGTGGGTTTCCTTCCTGCCACGCCTGGGGCAAAGAGCCCTGCCAGAGGTCATTGATGGGCTGTTGGTTTCCGTGTCCTTCTCACCTGTTTTTTTTTTTCTCCCTCTCCCTTGCAGCCGCAGCATCTTGCAGGAAGTGCTGGATTCAGATCTCAGCAATGAGGCCTTTCCCTTCTCCACCCACAAGCTGGTGAAAGCGGCAGGCTGCATGGTAGGAACCTGTGGGTTGGACTTGGCTGCTCCAGAGGCCTCTCTTGTGCTAGGGAGCATTTGGCCAAGGGTTTACAGAGGGACCACTGTCTCCATGCGAGCCGGTGTGTGGAGCCAGTACACAGGAATGACACATCAGGGTGTCTCTGCTCCCTGCTACTTTGGGCTCTTTCCCATGGCCGCCCGGGAAAGCACAGCTTAGGTCCCCACTGTGAGTATAGCTCACCCCTTTCCTCCCATAAGTAATGCAGTGAGGACCCCACTGATGGTACAGAATTGGTAATGAAGCTGGGGAGGGGGGAATTTGGAGATTGCTATTTTATTTTGTATTCTAACTGAAAATGTTTGTAACTATTATTGTAAGCTGCCTTGAACCACAAGGAAAGGTGGAGTATAAAACAGCCCATTGCCATGAACGAGGCCCAAGAGGCCCAAACCAGATTAATTTGGAGCCTGGTCCAGTTTTCTGAACTTCCAAAGAGTATCCTGGGAAACTGATAGAATTCGGTTTATTGTGGAATCATATGATTTCTGGAGGATCATTTTTGCCTAAACCAAGAATAAGAAACTGTCAGCATCGAAAGCAATTCCCACGTTGAGCCACTAGTGGCCTTTTTGGGAACTGGGTCTGGAGAGGACACTGCCCAGTTCCTGGAGCCTGAGCTTCGGAGTGGACAGGCCCAGTTTCATTTCTATTTTTATATTCATTTTCATTTCTATCCCTTTCAATGTGTCCAGTTCACAATACAAGAACTCGTGGGCACTCCATGAAACTGCAGAGCGGTCGGGTTAGAACGGATAAAAGGAAGTACTTCTTCACCCAAAGAGTGATTAACACATGGAATTCACTGCCACAGGAAGTGGTGGCGGCTACAAGCATGGATGGCTTCAAAAGGGAATTAGATAAGCATATGGAGCAGAGGTCCATCAGTGGCTATTAGCCACAAGGTATAGCTAGGGGCTCTAGGGCAAGTGATGCTCTGTCTTCTTGGTGCTTGGGGGGGGTCAACAGTGGGAGGGCTTCTAATGTCCTGGCCCCACTGCTGGACCTCCTGATGGCACTGGTATTTCTGGCCACTGTGTGACACAGAGTGTTGGACTGGATGGGCCTTTGGCCTGATCCAACATTGGCGTCTCTTATGTTCTTATGTTCTCTGATTTTGCTTTTGGCTTCTCTAGATTTATCTGTGATTGTGTTTGTATCTTGCATGGCTTTAATACATAGTGTATACGGTACTTGCGTGTATAGTACATATTCTCACATGAGCAATGTATAATGCTGATTAGTCAGCACATATATTTGTTGAGGAAAATTTGGTGCACGGAAACAGAAAATGGGGCAAAAACAGAGAATCATGGGTTGGATTCACACAAGGGAGCGGAATAAAACAGGCATTTAGGTCAAGATGGTGGGATGAGAAATTCAAAATCATTTGTCCAAGGGCAGGAGTGAGGATTTCAGTATTCTGGCAAAAGAAAGAAAAAAGGAAGGGGTATTCACCAATTCTGAAAAGCCAGTAACTGTGGCAGAACTCAAAACAACCTTCAGCAAGCCAGCACACATCAAAAACTGCGGGAGAAGGTGCAAGAACTGTTAAGTCACCGAGCCATCCCTGTCTTATTTAGTGGGACCTTGCGAAGAGAAATGGGGGGTGGGGCTAGTTCATAGTTTTGCAATGAAAAAGACCATAAAAATAAAACCTTAAAGCTAATTGGCCTTACGTTTGCAGCCTGGTTGGTCCATTAGAACAAATAACTTAAGTCATTGACAAGATAATGACCCAAAATTGCAAAACAGTGCACAAATTGTAGGACTCTCAGGCTGGGCATTATCATTAAAGAAAAGGCTGGCACTTTCCAGACAAGTAAAATATGTTACAGTAATTTCAGAATTAAGACACACTTTTTTCATGGCTCTTAAGATTCGTTGTATGGGATGAAGTGTCAGTGCGGGGGAATTATAAGCTTGTTTCAGCCCTCCCAAAATAACACTTGATCCTCGATCTTTGCTGCTGCTCCTAAGGACATTGTGGCTGCTGTCTCCAAAACAAACATTTCAGAGTTCAGAAGGTGTGGATGTGGCAGCTGATACAGAGAGAGAGAGTTTGCAATGTTCTTGTGAACAAATGCAAAGCCTCCAGGATTTCCTATATTCTTACTGTTTGGTTGACTCATCATTGAGAAAATGCCCAAACCAAATTCCATTGGACTGGCCTGCCATTGAAGTTTTTCAGTTCCAGAAAAATTTGAAGATTTGCATTACATCAGCAGTATCTCCTAGCCTGTATTTCATGCCAGCTGTGGATTTTCACCAGCTGTTAAGAGGGGTGTTTTCCAGTTCAACAGAGGGTGGAATGTAGCATTCTATCAATAGGACCCTCAAGCATCTGCTTCAAGCAGGATATTTATCAACTGTGAAGAGTTCTGGAATGTGGGAAGCTCATTAGGATACTTTAAGCAGCCTGGACTTTACTCCAGATGTGGATAAGTGAAGATCACATTACTTTATCCTTTAGGACTTCATCAGTGGATGTACCTGAATTTTGTGTCTTTTCTTTATGCATGTTGTATTGCCCCCACCAATTCCTTTTATTTTAGACTGGAATACATGCCGTTGTTACTGAGGGCAAACAAAGTCAGTTGAGAATGGGGGCAGTAGTTTCTGGAATAATCATGTGGGTGACCCTTACTAGTTAGAGGGTCACCCACAATTAATATGATAATATCACTGCAGCTTGTATCCAGTCAGATATCAGTATGTGCACAGCTGGCATCAATGAGGGCAAGGTGACACCTAGCTGCCATGTTTTGCTTGTTCCCTTCTCTGATCCTGGCTTGCTCGCTGCTCTGCCGCTTGCCGGAACCAGTGCTGCCAGACTACGTTATCTGTCTGGCCTTGTGAAGGGGGGAGGGCTTGCGTTCCACCCCTGGTGTGAATCTTTCGGCTCTCATGAGGCACTGAGACTCTCACGCTTATTACGTATCCTCCTGCTGGGAGAATTCCCCCCCCGTGCGTGCTCGAATATCATTTGCTTAGCCATTTGCCTCATCCTGCTATATGTAGGGATGTTTCCGCCCCTTGGTTATTCCTAACAATAATCCTGTGGATATGGTACCAGTTTTTTAATCTAATAAAGCATAACACTTCCTTGGAAACGTGTGTAGATATTTACTTGGTGCTGAACCTGACAGAATCGTTAGGAAACACTTTTCCTCCATCAAGCCGAGTCTCTCCCGAGCGAGATGAGCGGTCCCGGTGGGGCAGGGGTACTTACCCCGACAACCACATCGGTGGCAACCCCGGTCACTACAGCGGTACCCACCCCGGTTACCACAGTGGTACCCACCCCAATCACTACGGCGGTGCCGGTGATGACCCCCACCACGACATCGGGAACGGGGGTGCTCGTGACGACAGCAAGCCCAGGAGGGCCAGTCTCCATGGATCAAGGGGCCACACTTAGGTCTACGGATTTGTTCATCCCGGTGCATTTGGGAAGAGGAGTGACCTACCGCCGTAAAGAGAGGGATTGGGGCCGGCATCTGGGCGACTCCACGCAAACTACCTGGTTGATGCCAGGGAGTAGGAGTCAGGACAGTATCTTTGACCTGCGGTCTAGCTCAGGGAGCTTCGGAATGACCCCGGGTAGACCCATCCTGTTCCCACCAAGATCATCGACCAGTCCAGGTCTGGACATGGATGGGAGACTGGATGTGTGGGAATTGGACTGTCGCACTATAATGCGAGACACCCGACAATTGCTCCATAATCGACTGTGCTATTGAACTTTTGCCTGACTGTAAATTACCCAAAGGTAAAATTTATGCGATGGGGCCGGCTGAGAAAGTCGAACTGCGGAACTTTATTGATAAAAACCTAGCCCGAGGTTTCATTCGCCCGGCTTCCTCCCCTTTCGCCGCGCCTGTACTTTTCCGAAAGAAGAAGGACGGGGGGCTTAGGTTGTGCACTGACTATAGGGGTTTGAACGCTGTTTCTTTGTCCAATGCTTACCCCCTCCCATTAATTAAGGACTTGGTAGCTGAGGCCACCAAGGGCAAGATCTTCTCGAAACTTGACCTCCGGGATGCATATTTCCGTGTGCGCATCCGGGAGGGGGATGAAAGTAAGACTGCATTTAATACCCCTTTGGGGCAGTTTGAGTACCTCGTTATGCCCTTCGGCCTTCAAGGGGCTCCGGGGGTCTTCATGAACCTAATCAATGAGGTCCTACATGAGTTTCTATTCAAAGGAGTGGTCCTTTACCTTGATGATGTGTTGCTGTACTCTCAGGACCTCCAGTCGCATATTAAATTGGTGCGCCAGGTCCTTAAGCGACTTTATGAACACCACTTGTTTGCTAAGCTGTCAAAATGTGAATTCCACAAGACATGCATTGACTTTTTGGGATACCGCATCTCTGGGGGGAAGGTTGAAATGGACCCTGCTAAAATTCAGGCTGTACTTGACTGGGAGCCCCCCAGGACCCGCAAACAATTGCAAATGTTCCTCGGATTTGCCAATTTTTACAGAAATTTCATCCAGAATTTCGCGCAAATTGCCCTTCCCCTGACTGAGTTGCTAAAGACCAAAGGGAAGGGTTTTGATGCTACGAAACCTGGCGCCCCGCTTAAATGGTCCCCTGCTTGCGCAGAGGCTTTTGAGAAACTTAAACTGATGTTCACCTCCGAGCCGGTGCTGGCGCGCCCTGATGAATCTAAGAAGTTTATTGTCCAAACTGATGCCTCGGATGTGGCTATGGGGGCCGCTATTTTGCAAGAAGGGGAAGATGGTCGGTTACATCCCCTGGCATTTGTGTCTAAAAAGTTTTCTGATGCCGAACGAAACTGGGGGATTTGGGAAAAGGAAGCGTCAGCGATCCGGCTGGCTCTCTCCACTTGGAGGCAGTGGCTGGAGGGGGCGCAACTGCCGTTTGAAGTCTGGACTGATCATAAGAATCTGGAGATGCTGAAATCCCCCCGTTCTCTCAACGCTAAGCAACT